ACTTTTGTAGATCCATCTTGTATGCCGCGATGGTCAACATCAGAACCACGTCGTCCTCCGCTTTTAAAAAATATATAGCTTATCAGAGATCTGTCCAAAAAAAGTGCCTGGGTGAAGGGTGTGCCTGGTGATTTCTGTAGATTTTCGAGTTTTTAACATAAAAAAATTCATAACTTTTGTAGATGAACATCTTATATGCCGAAATGGTCACCATTGGAACCGTCTTGCCTCCGCTTTCAGAAAGGAAATATACACCTTGACTGGGGTTCGCTGAAAAAGTGCCGGGTCAACGGACCCCAGTCAAAGTATATATTTCCTCTCTGAAAGCGGAGGACAATAAGGTTCCAATGGTGACCATCTCGGCATATAAGATGTTCTCTACAAAAGTTATGAATTTTTTATGTTAAAAACTCGAAAATGTACAGAAATCACCTCACAAATCTACAGAAAAGAGCGATAAACGGGATAAATATTTGGAGCGATAAACGATTATACGTAATTTCTGTGCCACGGTTTTTCTGATCCACCCTGTTGCGCCGCAGACGCTATTCCTTTGGAAAACTTCCCAAATTTTCTCCTACTGCGACTGCGGTCTGGCTACTTCCAGCATATTTCGAAGACACTACAACATTCCTCAAGCAATAGAGGATTTCTCAAATCCATGCTGGAAACAAAAGAAATTTCCAAAAAACTTCACACTTCCTTCACACTTGTAAAAGGGAGTTGCAAGTCTTGATATGGGATGCGTTGCGAAAAGCGATCCACCGCCGGGTGAGATTGCAAAAATTTTTAGCCAGTTTCTGTAAAATGCTAGAGTACATTCACATCTTAGGATCTGCGTCAAGTTTACCAGGAAAACCTAAGAATTACGCCGATTTTTCTGGCTTTATTTTAAGGGACAGTACTTTTTCCGCACCCTGTAGATTCAAAATATAAATGTTGGAGGTCAAAAACCCGTTAAAAAGCACCTAATAGCGTTTTTGTGATTTTTTCGATCCAGTTTTCACCAAAAGCTGTCAAATTTAGCAAGTGGTGGTTTCAAAAAGTCAATGAGCTAGAGCACTCTCTCTGGTATTGTTGAAAGACTCGCATAACTCTTAATTGAGCTGTCATTGGTGACCTCTATAGAAATCGCACCCCTTGAACGTCTTCTGGGAAGGGTCAGGAGGTATAGTCCCCTCCACAGTTGGTGCTACCCTTTGTCTGCGTCTCAGACTTGCCACGTGGCACGTGGCAACAACATGTTGGCGACATGCAGGATGCAGCAACATGTTCGCAGGACTTTTGGCCACGCCGACATGTTGCTGCATGTTGCCAACGTGTTGCTGCCAACGTTGCCAACGTGTTAGTCACACGTGGCTGTCCGCGACGCCAGAAGGGTAGCAGCAAAAGTGGAAGAAACGATACAGTCTAGTAGATTTTCCGCTTAATATAATGCGCTTGCACAGAAAGTGAAATGCGGTAAAATTTGCGCGTGAAGAGATAGCTTCGACTGTGCAGCAGGCCAATCGCGCGCGCAAAATGCCGGCAGCACTGGCGTGAGTATTTGTTCACGCGCAAAATTCATCTCATTTTCACCGCACTTATCTTCTGTGCAAGCACACTATATTAAGCGGGAAATTACTCGACTGGAGGATCGGCGCGAATTTTTTGAAGCGTTGCTACGAGCGGCTTCTACAGTAAATAAACCAACACTTCTTTTACAACGTTACTTACGGCGTCGTGTATCCGCCCTAGCTCCTGACCCCCTTATCTCTCGCGTGCCAATTTCATCGGAGAGTTTTGTCGGGCACACAATTTGAGCGCTACGTGCGCGGCAAAGCGGCCGCCGTGCGCAGTGTATTCCTTACCTGCGGCCTCATCCGGCACCCGCCTAGTAGAGGACATTACAGTCGAGTAGACTTCCAGGTAGATATAGTGCGGCTGCGAAAGCAGCAGCACTTGCGCGCGAACAGTTGCCGCAGAGCGAGAAGTTTCAAATAGTTTGTTTTCTTTACTCATTCTTCATTTCTCAGGTATGCCTCAATCGAACAGGAGTAAGCTAAGTTTTAATAAAGATAATATGCTCACCAAGAGCAGATCTTTTCTGAAAATAACGGTGTCTGACATCACTATTTCATGTGATAAAAAAATGTATAGGATAAAAAAAACTTAGCGCTTCTAAGAAACGCTTTTTAATAGAAAAGAGATAAAGGCAAGGTTACGTCACAAATAAATGCGATGCAGCTACCAGAAGGTAAATCTGAACTCAAACGACGAAGGGACTGGTCAAAACAACAAAAGCTGCTCTCTAACCTACCTTCTACTCCCCGGCTGAGGCATAACTGAAAAATGAAGAGTGAGCAAAGAATACACTGAAATCACCTTGAACCTGTTCAAGCGCAAGTGCTGCCGCATCTGCAGGCGCATTATATTTACCGGGCTACTCGACTGTAGGTCGCTGGAAGGGAAGGTCCCGCGTGGACATCTGCAACGAAAGCGCACTTTTTCCCACCATGCCTCGTGTTTGATGTCCGCGTGGCTGGAGCCTATTGGCAACCTATTTCCTCTACCCGCACCCGTCACTCCCGATGATGCGCAGGGTACCACAGATCACATTGTGTTATAGGGCATTCGAAAAATTGTGACGATGGCGCGACCGTGCGCGACACGCACGCACCTCCCGGCAACCGCATTTTCTTGATTTTCGTCGCTAACGGATGGTGTTTCTGCTTAAGTATGACAGTATTTAGACATCGGAAGTGACTGAGCTGAGAGTTGAGGTGATGCCTTCTTGTATGAGAGTTTTCTGCTCCTCTCTGACATTCGTTCCGTACGAGCCGCGCGAAATTTGCGCACGAGCTAAACCCGCAATGGCCGTTCGCCCGCTAAATGCGCTCGGGTGTACGCGAAGTTCGCGCTGCTGGTACGTTGTCACTTCGGCGCCGCTGGTATGGTAATTTCGTGCTTGGATCTCACCGATATGACAATTTTTTAACGCCATCGATATGGCAACTTCGGAAATCACGTCCGGCTACAAAAAGAGCAACACAAAGGTGCTATCGAAAATTGTCTACATCACCTTCCGATTATGTTCTTGTGTAAGTATTGCAAACACATTAAAGCAATTAGCATGGAGGGCAGCCTAACCACTGCGTCGTACCTTACGCAGGTACCTCTTACGCTTATAACGTGTGGAAATTACGCTATAGTTTTTGTGAGCTTAAAGACAGTGCCCGGGCAAGATGGGGGTTTTGGGATTTCAGTGCCATGCGAGAGTGGCCCCCTCAGACACAACATCGCGCAAGTGCGACGTCATAACGCTGGACCTAAAGCAAGAAAAATGACCGGAAAGACTTACGCCTTCGGGCTGGGTCCTCCGAGCTGTCTGAATTTCTGCTATGCGGCAGAGTACGCATGCCGCCACAGTTGAAATGTAGGGTCCCGTAGCGACTCTGCGTCTCTGTCTTGGTGGGGGCCGTCGAATTTCAAATTGTGCGGCTTTGGAAAAAGTATGTTCTCGCCGTTTTCGCCCCTTCTAAAGTGGATTTTCGGATTCAGACTTGCGGATAACCCCGGCAAGTGGATTTTCGAGAAATCGAGTTTTTCCCCGGACACTGCCTTTAAAGGCACCGTCCACCCAAAATTCCGAGTTCCATGTTTTTGCCTTTCCAGGCATTCTCGTACCCCTAATTACGAATTTCAAGTCGGAAATCCGCGGAAACCACGAAATACCCCCGTTTTCAGAACCCACAGTTCGATTTCTTCGGATCGGTGATTGGTTGGGCGCGCACGGATGGGCGGGACGAACGTCACGCCCACTCAGAAGGAACCAACGTGGCAAATCTCTCATCCGAGCAATTTTCGAAGCAATTTCCTCGCTTCGGGAGCAATTTTGCCAGCGCGAGTTGGATAAGTATACATTTGAAGGCCCCACTGCTGTTTGGCATCAAAATTTCATCGACCCATTTTGAGAAGCGCTGCCTTTGAAATTGTGAAAATTACAGCTGAATGCACAAGTAATCATCGCGCACAAAGCTAAACGCCTTTCTTTGACTATGGTAGCCGTGAGTGCGTAGAACTGCCTGAAAAGCTGCAGAAGCTCAAATTAGTGGGTACGCGGCTCGCACGTTTGAAGGCACGCGGCCAGAGCTGTGGTCGCAAATACCGCAGTAAAATCCGTCCTCACGTTTATGAATGACCCATAGGAACCAGTGGCTTACCGAGGCGGGGGGCGGGGGGGGGGGGAGCGCGCTTCCCCCCCCCCCCCCGAGAATGAAGCGCGAAATTTTTGAAAGTTACTTACATGTGTTATAAAAATGTGCAGAAGACTTGTTTTAACTTGTAAATAATTATAGTAATTTTTAAAAAATTTTAGAAATTCAAACTGGCCTTGTAAGAAAATTTTTTCGGGGGCGTGGCTGCCGCCACGCCCCCTTTTTTGGAATTTTGAGGTCAGGGGCCCAGAAAAATTTTGGGAAACATCCCAAAAAAATTTTCGGAGTGCGTGGCTAACGCCACGCACCTTCATTAGAAAAACATTTTTGTCGCCCCCCCCCCCGAGCCGAAATCCTGGGTACGCCACCGATAGGAACCAATGTGTGCGTCCCCGGACTCTTGGATCTCTGATGGCAAAGTGCGTATTGTGCGCTCGCTCAGCCTCCAGCGAAGCGGGCGCGCGGCTGCATATTAAGTGCTTCAGCCAAAGTCCGCTCAAAACACTGTATAATAAGGCCTATCTGGCATTGCTATAATTCTGCAGGCAAGGGCCTGCGTACCTCAGGCGATTTCAGTCTTGTTTTTAGCTCACTGCTCACCCTCTTCTATCAAAAGTGCAGGGTATTTCATCGGTTCACAGCGTCCGCTTTCGTCAGCAGTGACTTTATATGAAAATGACTTGTGCCACAATGAACTTTGCAATAATTCTAACCAGGGTCAAGCAAGAGGTGTGGCACACGATCGCTGGTTACGACCCCCACCCCCTCTTATTGCTGTCTCACTAACAAGGAAAGTTCACTTACAAGGGAAGTTCACTTAGTCGAAGTGCCGATTCGGAAGGAGGTCTATACCAGTGGATAGAGTTTGAAAAGCTGATCTCAGATATACCTTCTATATCTGCGATGCGTTGTTCTGAAAAAAGTTATGAGCTTTTCTAAAGCCAAATTTTCGTGCATTTTGAGTCGGAAAATCATGGTAATCGCTACACAAAACGCAAGCTCAAGCAAACCACCCAATAATCATTGTAGGTCTAATTCGAGTTCATTCGAACGCTTTCGACTGTTTTTCGACCATGTTGTTCATCCACAGGTCGTCATTTCATTCCTAGATCACACTTCTATATACAAAAAAGCCCATAACCTCCATCTAGAAAAACGCGTCGCGTCGGAAACTTTTTGGAAATTACCAATTCAGGACGTAAAACGATGTTCTCAAATATGTCTTCAATATCTGCGACGCGTTCTTCTAGATGGAGGTTATGGGCTTTTTTGTATAAATAATGGAAGTGTGATCTAGGAAGGAAATGACAGCCTTTGAATTAACAGCATGGTCGGAAAACACTCGAAAACGTTTGGATAAACTCGAATTGAACACACAATGCTTACTAGGTGGTTTGCGTAAGCTTGCGCACTTTTGTGTAGCGATTATTATGATTTTGCGATTCAAAATGGAAGAAAATTTGGCCTTAGGAAAGCTCATAACTTTTTCAGAACAACGCATCGCAGATATCGAAGGTATATCTGAAATCAGCTTTTCAAGCTCCATCCACTGATATAAATCTCCTTCCGAATCGCCACTTCGACTAAGTGAACTTCCCTTGTTAGTCGAAGTGGCGATTCGGAAGGAGGTCTATAATGGATAGAGCTTAAAAAGCTCATCTCAGATATACCTTCTATATCCGCGATGCATTGTTCTAAAAAAAGTTACGAGCTTTTTTAAAGCCAAATTTTCGTGCTTTTGAGTCGCAAAATCAAGGTAATCAACACAAAAGTGTACAAGCTTAAGCAAACCACCTAGTAAGCATTGTAGGTCTAATTCGAGTTTATCCGAACGCTTTCAAGTATTTTTCGACCATGTTGTTCATCCACAGGTCGTCATTCCATTCCTAGATCACACTTTCATTACGTATACAAAAAAGCCCCATACCCTCCATCTATAAAAACGCGTATCGTCGGAAAATTTCTGGAAATTACCAAGGATTCTGGAAATTACCAAGGATAAAACGTAAAACGATGTTCTCAAATTTATCTTCAATGTCTGCGATGCGTTCTTCTAAATGGAGTTATGGGCTTTTTTGTATATATAATGGAATTGTGATCTAGGAAGGAAATGGCAACCTGTGGATAAACAGCATGGTCGGAAAACACTCGAAAACGTTCGGATGAACTTGAATTAGATCTACAATGCTCACTAGGTGGTTTGCTTGAGCTTGCACACGTTTTTATAGAAATTATCATGATTTTGCGACTCAAAATGCAAATTCGGCTTTAGAAAAGCTCATAACTTTTTTCAGAACAATGCATCGCAGATATAAAAGGTACATCTGAGATCAGCGTTTTAACACATTCACGACAATACGACCCACCGGTGGGTCGTACGTGTTCTGCCATTTCGGAGAATACGACCCACCGGTGGGTCGTATGCTTTCCGAAGGTTTTGGTTTTGTTAGTTCACGGTGAAACTTTTTAGGCGAACCGAGTAAACTTCTGCATACACCTCTTCGAGTACTTCCTAAAAGATGAACACTTCAGACCACAGGGTCCATCAATGACCTGAAAATATTACGCAAACTCAATTTTGCGAAATATGCTCTGGTTCGAAATGGCAGTCATCGAAAAATCAGCCCTGTCGTGAATGTGTTGAGCTCTGTTCACTGTTATCCACTGTTATAAACCTCCTTCCAAATCGCCACTTCGACTAAGTGAACTTCCCTTGTAAGACCCCCTGAACTATATACCTAAGATAGCACTACTTGAAGGCCCTGTCAGACAAAACGGGCAACATATCCATAATTAACATGTCGATGAACCCATGCAGACAATGCTTGAGCGAATCCTAAAGTTTCAAGATGCTGGGTCGCCTAGGTGAAATCGCCATTTTCCAGCATGATTAACTTTTCAAAGGTGAAGCAGCTAGCTGTTTTTGCACTCAAGACAAAGCACTACTTCTTCTTTGGCCACTTCAGAAATATCGCTTCAAAAGACCTTTAGCTTCGAAATTAGAAGCCGACCAAAATCTTGTTTTTCCTATTTTTCGCTTTCAATGGCTGTGCTTTCACCAGATATTACTCAGAGCTAAGAAGACGAATCAGGCTCAAATCACTCCTAAGAAATCTACGAGGTTTAGCTTGTCGATTCATATGAATAAGTTCGCTAAAAATGTTTTTTTTGATAAAAGTTGTGGCTGCCACAGCTTTTTAGGGGTAATGCCACACCCCATTAACTTACCTTCAAACAGATCAAATAGCTGCGTTTTTATATCGTTACTACTGCTTAACCTTCTTCTTTACATAGCAGAAATTTCTGAAAACGTTTCTTTAAGAGCAAGATAAAATCGTTTTTCCTTACCTATGCAAATGTACCGGCGAAAATATTGGGATACGGCAACATGCCAAGTCTGCGCTACTATGTGAATCGCAAGGGAAGGCGATAAGAATGTATATATTCGATAGCCTAAGCCTCGTAAATTCTCTTCAAGTGATTTGAGCTTGACTGGTCTTCTCTAGCCTGAGATATCGAAAACGAAAAATGGAACAAACGAGATTTTGGCTTGCTCTTAATTCCTTAATTTGGATCATATGAAGTAGGATTCCTAATGTGAGCAAAGAAATAGTAGTTCTTTGTATTAAGTGCAAAAAGAAGTAGTGAACTTACCTCTGAAAAACAAAATAACATGCTTGAAAACGACCATCTCACTTAGGTGAGTCTTGTATATGGAAACCTCAGAATTCGCTGAAACTTGGACCACAGAGGTTATTTTACTTGCTAATTACAACACGATGCTCTTATGCTTTATAGATCTTCAATCAGCTTACTGTACGTATACGATAATGGGTTAAGCAGCAATGTGCTAGTATTTTGCATGACGGCCTATTCCACATTGTTAACGAATATCAATCATGTTATGCGAACAGCGGACGCCTTGATAACGACCCCCCCCCCCCCTACTTGATTCCTAAATACGATCCCCCGGGTGTGGCATGCCACACCCACGTTTGACCCTGATTCTGTCTCTATCTCTGTTCATTTGCCATCGTATGACCATTAGCACGACAACGATATGCAACACCATCGGAAAAAAGGACACGATGAAACAATTCCCAAAGCATTTCACCACATTTTGTGAAAATCCAACCAATATGAAAACTTTGGCATAACCTCAGAAAAACTGCAACACTATCTCGAAATGCTTTATCACATGAACAAAAACAAGATTATGATTCCAACAGAACACTAATATTCAGATAAACAAAAGAAAAGAATGGAAAAAAATACCACCCAAGTGAGATAAAAATACGCCTCCACGATAGGATAACAACAAAGACAAGCGAACGAAATATTCTGTCGTATACTCTTCCACATGCGATAAATGTATTTCAAGAATTTAGCAAAATCTTGTAACATATCGAGTAAAATTCTAAATATTATAGATCGATGGATCAATTTCGTATCAATTGCGCAATATATTGGTGCCCCATACATCGAATAAATAGATTATTCAACGACTTTCAAAACTTTCCCGATAGCAATGGTTCGACCCTCATCGCGGAGTGTAAAACGACCTAATTGAGGCAGTTCCTGAAAGAATCGCATACCTCGATTGCCAGAATGATTTGCGAAAAGTAGCCTCGCAACAAACCTTGAAAGGCTCGAGACAGAATGCTTCCGAACTTTCTATCCTCATGATACACTTCTCATCCTGTCGAACAAATCTTGATTTTTTTTTCTCCCCGGTCTTTTTGTCGATAGTACAGATTACCATCTGCAAATTGGATGGACACTAGCTCAGTTCTTGAATGCTCGAATCGCGAGCACAGCATGAAAAATCTATGAAGTTGCACACCTTCACAGTCACCTCTTCAACTGCGGATTGAATGTGGAGCACACATGTGTATCCTGATGCTATAATTGACTTATGCTCCAGAATGACCACCTGTGGTAAAAGTGTGGTTGAAAAAATGATTTTTGGAATAGAAACTTATAATGAATAAACCCAGAAGATGCAAAAAAAACCTCTGCGTCGAACACGCGTCCAACTCGGCAAAGGGCATCTGGCGAGCAGATAATGAATCCTGATTGGATCTCATTTTCTTCAATTCCTGAAAGATGAACAATACAAAATAAAATCCTTAAAAAAACTGAACAACAGAAAAACAGTCTTACAAGGGAACGATCCTAACTCAAGGTGGCGAACTGGTATGAACCGCTTATTATCCGAAGCGTCTTTATGAGCTGATTTCAGATCTGCCTTCCGTATCCGCGATGCCGTTCTCTGGAAAAGGTTATGAGCGGTTAAAAATACGAAGTCATTGGGGTTTCATTGCATAATGTGCTTTGAAATCGACTTTAGGAGGGCATGATTAGCACGCTATTGAGTACTGATTCCGAGGAATGCTCAGATTCATAGAAAACACCAAAAAGTATTCTCGAACAACTAAAAAACGAGCTAAGTTGTTTAGTAAAAGCTTTGTGCAATGAAAAGGCCAAATCTGGCAAAGATACCGCGCCATACCTCAAGAATTTGTTGATCAGAGACACTTCCTTGTGTTTCCGTTAAATGTGAACATGAAATCATTATACGCAATATCATGCTAGTCATGCACTCTCATGTCGAATTCCAAAGCACATTATGCATGAAAACCCCAATGTCTTCACATATCTAACCGCTCATAACTTTTTCCAGAGAACGGCATCGCAGATGTAAAAGGTAGATTTGGATTCAACTCATCAAGACTCATTTAATGACACGCGGCTCAATCCAGTTTGCCACCTAAAGTTGGGATCGCTCCTTGCTAGGGGATAGAACCTTTGAGCTTGAATTTCACGTTGTCTCCCGAAACCACCCGATCCATCTCGACGTCATCTGACCAAATTTGGATTACCTGGACTGGTTGCTGCAATATATCAACTGTACATACTTGCTTACCAAACGCTGACAGTCTGTCCCAACAGAAACCGGGCCGAACCCTGTAAATTTGCGCGCTCGCAGCACTAGGGGTTCGCGCTGCATATCTGCGCTGTCGGAGAGGGCGGGAAGATTGAAGAAAGAGGAGACAAGCAGGCAGTACGCGTGACGCAAAGCACTAGCGACGCGGACCCCCGCCATGCCAGTTTTGGCTTGATTTAAATTGGTACAGATTGTATGTAACCCTCTTACCTTATTCGGCATACATACAAGGTTTTGTCCTTTGATGACAACACCTGACTCCATTTTACCGATGATTAGGGTACCCATATCCTAAAATTAAGCCCGTTAAAAAACCTCGATTTTGCTCGGAGATTCGAAATGCCTGGGTTTCGAATAGAGAGATTCTCTGTACATCACAAAATCAAGGATTATTTTGAAGTGAAAGTTTGGGATGATGTTGCTTTGTTGGTTTCTATTCAGCGTCGCTTGTAAAAAGGATGGTTTATAGAGCTACCAAATTTGTTCGAAAAATTGTCATATCTGCAATTTTGTATGTTGTCAAAATAAAAAAGCTTATTTTCTTCTTCATTCATAGAATAACAATTGCAAAGAGATGGTAAGACATTTTTCGAATTTTATTTGTAAATCGCAGAGATTTTCTAAGGAAGGAAAATGCCAATGATACGCTGACTAAGCGATTTAGTAATTCGCTGATGAGCTAACCATCGTTGTAAAAGAGTCAGCCACTTCTACGGTGTTAGATTGTGCACTCATATGGGTATTTCGATTTTACTTCAGAACTTTTTTCAACTATAATCCTGATGGGATCCATTTGTTCCCTAGGGCCACATTCGTTAGCATCCCCACCAGGGGAAGGGATCGCAGTTCAAAAGAAAGCTTCATATGCTGATGCTTCAGATATAGAGATTTTATGCTGTCTTTTCATCCTTGATTATTCCTACTGTCCTTTACGTAAGCATATTTAACAAGAGCGAAAAGTTGTACAAACCATATTTAGGGCCGCGTGCACTAACATTGCAGCTTTACAAAAAGCTTCATACCCTGAAGCCTTAGATATGTGGATTTCATGCTGTCTACCTTCACATAAGTATTCCCACCATACTTCACTATGAACATGTCGAGCGGGAGCAGGAAACTGCACAAACCACATTTTCCAGCAATTTGTATGTTACCCTGATGACCCCCCGCGGCCGACCATCTTTTCTTTAAAGTCATTTTTCTTCCTTCGAAGTTAACGAAAACCTTCCAAAGTTGCACCAACTATCTAACCATACAGTGCTAAGCATGTTGATATGAATAAATGAGTTTTTGAAGTCGGTTTGACTTGGATTCATCGCTTCAAAACTTCGAAACATCATTTGTTCTACCGAAACGTGATTAGCACTGTTGGGTTAAACGGCACATCTGGAATTTTTCTATTGGTTTCGAAAAAAGAAAAATGACTTTAAAGAAAAGACGGTAGGCAGCTGGAGATCATCAAGGGATCATAAAGAAAGCTGGAAACTGCGGCTTATATAGCTTCCTTTTCCTGTTCAATATGTTCATAAGTATGGTGGGAGTACTTACACAAAGGCAGACAGCGAAACCCAATATCTAAAGCTGGACATGAAGCTTTCTTTTGAGCTGCGATGCCGATGCACTAACATCCCCGCGGGGAGGGGATCGCAGCTTAAAAGAAAGCTCTAGGTTTCGGAACTACAGATACCTGAATTTCACATTTTGTACCTATCCGTAAGTATTCCTACTACCCCTCACTATGAACATGTTGAAGAGGAGCGAGAAGCTGTACCAACCGCATTTTCCAGCTTTCGTTTGATCCCTGATGATCCCCGGCGCTTTTCTTTGAAGTCATTTTTCTTCCTCCAAAGTTAACGGAAAGTTTCCAAAGTTGTGCGATTATCTAACCCAACACTGCTTAGCATGTTGCTGATAAGAACAAGTGAAGTATCGGAGTCATGAAATTTTCGATGATCCATAGGTCGAAATTTGAGGTTTACCGAAAAACTCGACTTTTCAAAAACTCATTTGTTCTCATCAGCAACATACTTAGCACTGTTGTGTTAGATGTTCAGTACAACTTTGGAAGGTTTTCGTTAACTTCGGAGAAGAAGAATGACTTTAAAGAAAAGCGCCGGGGATCATCAGGGATCATACAAAAGCTGGAAAATGCGGTTCGTACAGCTTCTCGCTCCTGTTCACCATGTTCATAGTGAAGGGTAGTAGGAATACTTACGGATAGGTACACAATGTGAAATCAGGTATCTGGAGTTTCGAAATATAAAGCTTTCTTTTAAGCTGCGATCCCCTCCCCAGCGGGGAGGTTAGTGCATGCGGCCTTTAGTTTTTGAATGATCCCCGATGATCCCCAGCGGCCAACCGTCTTTTTCAAAGTCATTTTTCTTTTCCTAAATTAATGGAAACACTCCAAAGTTGTACCCCAACAGTGCTAAGCTTTTCTACGGACAAATGAGTTGCTGAATTATGGAGATTTTTGATAAATCCCAACCTTGCACCTGTGTTCATCGCAACATTTCATGACTTCGATACATCCGTTCTTATCAACGACATGCATAGCGCTGTCAGTTCAGATAATCAGTACAACTTTGGAAGGTTGTCATTGACTTCGAAGAAGAAAAAATGGCTCTAAAAAACGGTCGGTCGCCAAGGGGTTTTCAGAGGATCACAAAAAGCTGGAAAATACAATTTGGATGACCCTTCGCCAGGGCCAAGCGTGGGATGTGGCATGCTACATATGGGGGTTTTGAGGAGTTAGGAAGGGAGAAGTCGTTATCGAGCGACAGGATGTGGGTGGCGGACTTTATGAACGATAGCGCGCTTAGGCAGGCGTGTTTCAATAAGATGCGCACCGTTAGCCCCGCCTATCGCAAGATGGACGAGTTGCAGTACAGCTTTAGCACTGGTTCATGACCGTGTTCCCCAGTCAAGTGAAAGCAACTTCTGATAGTGAGTTATAAGCTTGTTGCAAGCTGGGGTGAAGTTTGACTATTTACATAATTTTGTTATCTAAAGCAGATCCGAAAAATTATGTGCACTGTGATTTTCCTTTTTCTGAAATCTGAAAAAGTTTGTGTGATATATGTAACCGCATATTTGCAAAACCAGTGCTATCTGATTGTGCGAAACCTTACCAAATGTAATGATGTACACAATTTATCGAAATTAGCTTGCTTAAAACAAAATTCGCCTATAATGCTTGTTTTGAATTCTCGTCGCAATGAATGGTTTTAGCTATTACAGGGTTTCAAAACTTACTTTTCCGATGAAAAAGATAATCGCTTTGGTCATTTCAGCAATGATAATAATAGTTCTCGATAAGCTGACTTCTTTATGAACTAAACTTGTGGGTGCACAATAAAGAATATTCAAAATAGTAACAGATGTGAATAAAGAAAAACATTTTTCCAAGCATGAAATAATTTCCTCATACTTACAACAAACAATCAATTTGGACAGAACTACCAGGAGCAGATAACTGAAATACATTGAAAAGAGCTTGCGAATAAATTTATAATGAAAAAAGATTTGAAAACTGATTTTCAATTCAATTGAAATTTTGAATTCTACTGTTATGCAAATTGCAACCAACTGAAGAAGCAAGAACGAAATATTAGAGATTTTCCAATGATTGCAACGCATTCCTAGGTTAATTAACACGTTTCGGACCGGTGCTGCACATGGTGCAGCACGCGCCGTTGAGAGATCTTTATAACGTTGACAGAAGGTTTTCTTTTTGTCCAAGGTTATCAAGTCAAAGGCCTAAGCTCCTTCTTCTCAAATGACTCTGTAAGGCTGTGCCGCCGATATTTGTTTAGAAGATATGAGCACAAATCGAACAACACTTGCGATGAAGTGCGGCGACGCGGACGACGCGTGCGATGTCGCAACTTTCCTTTGCTTCGAATTCAAGGAGAAAAAGCGTAGTTTCGATAATGATGTGTATGGTGTACAACATAGATAATTTTGGGTACAATTAGAAACTGGGTTCTTGTTCCTTTCAAAAAGCACAGAAATCCTTCTCAGGCGACAAAATTCAAACACTACGAATTCGCTCACAACTTTGGGTATGGATCTTAATGACATGCTGATTATAGATGTGGCACACAGTCTACGAATTAAGGCCCCTTTGTTGGTCAAAGGCTGAAAGTACCCTCTTTTTCGCCGCGCGCGATTTCGCGGTCCAAAACGTGTTAACAAGGGGGCGGAGCGATCAGCGCACCGCGTGCGGTACCCAGCTGGCGGCTGGCACATGCTATTCATAAAGTATACACCCACAAGATGTTAGCGACATGATATTCGTTAACAATGTCAGATAGGCCCATTATGCAAAATACTAGCACATGATGTTTAGGCCTACCATCATGTACGTGCTGTAAGCATAATAAAAGAGCACCCAAAGCAGAGCATCATCATAATTAGCACGTCAAATAACCCTGTGGGCCAAGTAGCGAATTTGAGGTTTCCAGATAGATATTGGGCCACTTAAGTGAGATGGTCATTTTCAAATATGTAAACTTTTCAAAGGTAAGTATATCTCTTTTTGCAGTTAATGCAAACTACTACTACTTCGCTCACATTAGCAAGCCTACTTCAAATAACCCCCCAACTATGGAATTAAAAGAACCCAAAATCTCGTTTGTCTCATTTTTCCCTCTCAAAGGCACCGTCCACCCAGACTCTCGACTTCCAGGTTTTTGTCGTTTCGGGTCTTCTTGTGTCCCTGATTCCAAATATGACGTCGACAATCCGCGAAAACCCCAGCAATCCCGATTCCGAGAACCCGCAAGCCGGCTTTCCAAAACGGTGATTGGCTGAGCGCGCACAATTGTGCGGGCATGGATGGAGAGGGGCGGGCATGGATGGGGGTCCTCGTGCAATCTTCGCTATTCCGAAGCGATTTTCTCGCTTCCGAAGCGGCATATTGCGCCGCGACTTGGGCATTGGCTTGATAGGAGGCCCTACTATCATATGCTGCCAAAAGCTCAACACCCTCAACTTAGGGTGGACGGTGCCTTTAATATTACAGACGAGAGAAGACCAATCAGGCTCCAAACACCTTTGTAAGAATTGCGAAGTTCAGACTATCGAATACAGGGCTTATCAAGCGCAGTGTCACTTGCATCAGTATCTCCAATCCCGCGCTGGACTCAGCGTCTCTTCCGCAAACATGCTCTCCAATCAACTGAGGCTCCGCCGTTCCCAAGTTCGCCCTGGGAAAGTGAACAGAGAGCATGTTCGCGGAAGAGATGCACAGTCCAGCACGGGAGTGGAGATGCTGATGCAAGCGACACTGCGTTTGAGAAGCAGTTTCCATATGCATAGGTAAAAAAAACGGCTATATCTTTCCCTAGGAGAAGTGATTTCGGACAGAATTCCTAATGTATAGAGAAGATCATATATTTGAATGCTCTGAAGTAAGTTGAAGAGGTTTAGCACAATTCCATTAACTTACCACCAAAGAAAATATCAGCGAACAAAATACATACAGTTCGACAGCCGAAATCTAGTAAATTCTATAAAAGCGATTAGAGCTTAATTCCCCTTTTTTGTTTGAGCAATCACTGCTGGAAGCCTCCGTAAGCAAAAAAAGGGACAAATCAAATTTTGGCTCGCTCTAATTCCATATTTTGGGTTATCTGAAGCAGGAATCATGGTAAGGGCAAATAGGGATAATGTTTTGTATTGTGTACAAAAAGATGTAGCTAATCCATTTTTAAAATATAGTTAATCGTGGTTGAAATCGAACTTCACTTGGATGGCCCAATATTGGGAACCCTCAGAGTTCGCTCGATAGGCCCACAAGGGTTATCTGACATGCTAATTACAGATATATTACTCACTATGCTTGGTAGGGCCTCGTTCTATGCCTACGTGACATGGACAACGATGCTGCGGCGGGGGGGGGGGGGGAGGGTTTGTTGAGATTCGGAGAGGGGAAGAAGATCGTATCCGGCGGTCTGAGTCACACCCTTGCTCGACCTGCTTCTCGCTCCTATTCAACATGTTTATAATGAAAGGTAGAAGGAATACTTACGGACAGATAGCGTGAAATCAGAATTGTGGCTCTAGAATATGAAACTTTCCTTTGAGCTGCGATTCCCTCCCTAGGAGGACTTCAAGATGTGCAGCCCTCAATCTTACGGAATGCGAATTTATTCACCTAATAATCTACTCTACCTTTACCAGAAAAGATGTTTACTGGAAGTATCCTTTTCAGATGAGATATATACCGTATTGGAGGGCATAAAACGCTGATTCCAAATCTGCCTTCCTGGTCTGCGAAACGTTTATGTAAAGGAGTCATAAGCGTTTACTGGAGCAAAAAATTGATTGTAGCAAAACAAAACAGGCGTAACATTTCTTCTAGCGCCTTAATGGAGCAGTGATTTTTAGCAAAGCACTTTATTCGATAAACAATTTGAGATAAGAAAACATATCACACTTGGTTGCTTTATCTACGGGTTAGTAAGATCCTAGCAACTCATTTTACCCCAAATGCACATTCATTTTTTTGCTCCAATAAAAGCTCATACTCCTCATCCACAAACGCCCCAGATAAGGAAGGCAAAATTAGCGTCTTATGCTCTTCAGTGTCGCATCCATCGCTAAAAAGGGAAAACGACTAAACATGCTTGCCTTATTAGCTGTAATCTAATCCGGACTCATGCAAAAAAATCGTATAAAACTGTAAAAAAAACTGAAAGGGCTATAATTGCTATTTTTGCTTTCTGAGAAGCAATTACATGAAGTTTGGAAGGCAACGAGGGCCAGCTTTTCTACCCGCAGTGAGAAATGCAAAGACAAAAAAATCCAACACTTTTGGTACTCCATCGGGACCTATCTTGTTTCAAAGCCTTATGGAAACGTTGAAGAAGGTGCTTAAGATGCACATAAGCGCAACGGAGACAGTCTTACGAATGTGAATTTGAGCAGTACAGCAAGATGATCACAATGACTTTGCAGTACAGCAAGATGATCACAATGACTTTAACTCACGGAGAATTTGTCGACAACTATGCATCGGACCGGACCATTGTAATCGCGAGCCATCGAGACGAGATTGTGATCAATATAGTCGATGAAGCATGGGCCACTGAAATGTCAGGCTGAAGAAAGCTCAAACAACATAATACAGAAACCATCCACTTCATTCGGCTGATGCATTTTTGCGAACATACGGAAGAGAGAATGTACGTTAAGTCTATTTCGCTAGTTGAAGGAAAGGTTGATATCGGCTTTTTGTGGTTGAGAAAAAATGAAGGTCTTTACTGGAAAATCGGAAACTTGAATCCATCAGACATTTTAGTAAAACACGGCGGCAAAATGGCACTGTGTCGTATTCGGCTCCTTTCATGAAGGACCGGAAAAAGAACAACAGAGGTGACCATAAAGACTATAAAGATCCCAACGATAACTTCACCCTTTCGGAAATACCCATTATTTAGCATCATCTGTCTCCCCCCTCCCCCCGAAGACGGATATTTGTTCCATTGGATGAAATACGAGGATTTCTTTCCAGGGTAGTCGTGCAAAATTAGTCCGGATAAACAAAAATGAATTCGTAACGAACACTGTACATATTTGGTGGCGATTCTCGGACATCTTTGGCAGCCCATTTCCCTCTGAGGCTATCTAGAAAAACACTACGCGCATGATGTTGAATGCTATGGAAAGGAAGGGTTCAACTGCGTCCAAGGTGCCCGTATTATCCAGTGCTGTGATTAGCACAAGACACAGCGACACTGAGGTGGTGACGTTAACAATTTCTCAACAGAGTTAGATCTGTGGGCTTTCGACAAAGCCCTCATAACCTACAAGTCCATATCATGACTAAGTATTAGCTTGTTCTCCATTATGCTCTCTAACAAGACAAGGATACTTAATGACCGTGACATTCATAATGATTTGTATATCGAAAAATGTGTTTAACGCTGGTTCGAATACTGTCTTCCATATCTGCGAAACCATAACCGAGTTGAGATTATTTTTTTATGATCAAATTGCGCTACTGCGGAGGGTCAAATTCATCAATAAAAAGTTTTCTTTCCTTTTCAAATGTTGAATATGATCTGGATAGGTATAATACGACAGTAATCCTTTGAGATTCTCTTCAATAGCTTCAACGGTAGCCTAGAACAAATTTGGTGATATTAACTACCCACTATGCAGGTTTTCTACGAAAAAAAAAAATCCATACTGCCTCCAGAAGATCGTTTCGCAGATATCGTGCACAGATTTAGAATCAGCATTCTGAATTGCATCTTACGGTATACATCGCATTCCAAATGGCGACAGTCACCGAGTATCCTTTCTTTGTAAAACGTACTTTCACAATCAGCGCAATTGATGAGCGAGGTGAGCGAAAGACCCCGAAGAGACTCTTAGAATCTCCACAACACTTTTTCGATAGGGAGGAGGCAAGAGAAGGGGGGAGGCTCGGCCGGGCACTTACCGACACGTAGGAGCCACGAAACAAGACGATTGTTCATTTTTTGGAAACGTGCCTCCTCAAAGAGGTGCCGTGGCGGAAGCTTTTTGAAATATGGTTTGCATTCGGTATCCCAGTATAACTCATATCCCATACTACAATCCCAATAACTCATTTGCTGTCATAAACAAATACATATCAGATTCTTTGGAATGCAAGCTGGTACAAGAAAAAAAAAGGCCAACCTGTACCATCCACCTTGATCGCACGAAGGTCTATCTTTGATAAAAGCTCCAGTCAGCCCAGAAACAGGAATATACGTCATATCAGTTTTTGGATTGAAACCACACTTGCGAAGATATGGAGTGAGCTTGCTCTGGATTTCGTTGAATCTAGAATAATCGGTTCCAAAGGCCGCCAAACAAAGAAAATCATTTCACCATCACTGACCGGGCCTCATCCCACTTGACCGTTGGATCATCCATTTTATTGACAAGAATAACAAGATGACGAACACCTGCAGTCTTCACCAACATAGCATGTTCTCTAGTTTGTCCGCCGCGATCAAATCCGGTTTCGAATTCGCCTTTGCGGGCAGAAATTACCTAACGAGGTGATAAGCATAACGTCTAACAGTCATTATGAAAGACACTCACAAGCACAGCTAGATCCGCTTGTGTGGCTCCACTGATCATGTTTGGAACAAAACTTTTGTGACCAGGAGCATCAAGAATTGTAAAATGTTTTTTCTCAGTTTCAAAATAAGCACGTCCGCACTCCACAGTTTTTCCTTTCTCGCGTTCTTCTTCGTTGGTATCCATACACCATGATAAATACCTGAATTCGTAGTCACCTGAGAAAACAAATCTGAGATGACATATTTGGGGCTCATAACAACGAGAAGTTTGTACATACCAACTTTCCCGACCCTTCTCCTTCGCTTCTCGTTCATATTTCTCCAAAGTTCGCTTATCAACCATTCCGGTAAGGTACATAAGTTGTCCTGAAAAGAGAAATCTCATCCATGAAGTGAGCGCCGAATAGTTGTACCTCCAATAGTAGATTTACCAGCGTCCACGTGACCAATGAAAACCATATTGACGTGCTCCTTATGGGTACCATCTAAAATTCCTGATTAAGATTGAAAACAGGATAAAGATTACGAAAAAATCGAAACAAGCGAGGAACGTCGGCTCAACTGATTGAATTATATATACAGTGAATGTCTGTCTGTGCGTATGTATAGGGCATTCGAAAAATCGTGACGATGGTGCGACCGCGCGCGACAGGCACGCACTTCCAGCAGCTGCATTTTCTCTATCTCTACTCAGATGGTTTTTCTGCTTAGACGTATGATAATATTTAGAACGAAAGTAACTGAGCTGACCGCTTAGGTGATACCTTTTTGTATGAGTGCTTTCTGCTCCTGTGTGCGCAAAGACCGTAGTCATACCCGTCGTCACGATTTTAAGGATACCAGATATATCTTATATATAAAGCTGAATGTCTGTTTGTCTGTCTGTATGTCTGTCTGTATGTGTGTCTGTCTGTCTGTCTGTCTGTCTGTGTGTACGTATGTTCCGAATAGAAAATTCCATTTCTGAACCGATCCGGACCAAACTTGGCACACATACACTACGGGCCCCGGCGGGTGTCATAGGCTACTTTTCGTCATCGATCGATATCGATTTTATCGATTTTTATCGATTTTTTTGCTGAGTTCACCTACGGGGCTGGGAGTTGGCACAGGGGGGTAATCGAGCATGGGGATTCCGAATACAATATTGGTTTTCAGGATTATCGATTACTTTTATCGATTTTATCGATTTTTTTGCAAAGTTTGAGCTAGGGGGCTGGGAGTTGGCACAGGGGGGTAATCGAGCATGGGGATTCCGAATACAATATTGGTTTTCAGGATTATCGATTACTTTTATCGATTTTATCGATTTTTTTGCAAAGTTTGAGCTACGGGGCTGGGAGTTCGCACAGGGGGATAATCGAGCATGGGGATTCCGAATACAATATTGATCCGGACCAAACTTGGCACACATACACTACGGGCCCCGGCGGGTGTCATAGGCTACTTTTCGTCATCGATCGATATCGATTTTATCGATTTTTATCGATTTTTTTGCTGAGTTCACCTACGGGGCTGGGAGTTGGCACAGGGGGGTAATCGAGCATGGGGATTCCGAATACAATATTGGTTTTCAGGATTATCGATTACTTTTATCGATTTTATCGATTTTTTTGCAAAGTTTGAGCTAGGGGGCTGGGAGTTGGCACAGGGGGGTAATCGAGCATGGGGATTCCGAATACAATATTGGTTTTCAGGATTATCGATTACTTTTATCGATTTTATCGATTTTTTTGCAAAGTTTGAGCTACGGGGCTGGGAGTTCGCACAGGGGGATAATCGAGCATGGGGATTCCGAATACAATATTGGTTTTCGGGATTATCGATTACTATTATCGATTTTATCGATTTTTTTGCAAAGTTTGAGGTAGGGGGCTGGGAGTTGGCACAGGGGGGTAATCGAGCATGCTGATCACCCCCAAGGGGGGTGATCAGCATGCTCGATTACACTCCTGTGCCAAATTCCAGCCCCCTAGCTCAAATTTTCAAAAAATCGATAAAATCGAAAAAGTAATGGACGATCCTGAAAACTAATATTGTGTTCGTAATCAGCATGCTCGATTACTTCCCTGTGCAAACTCCCAGCCCCGCAGGTCAAACTTTACAAAAAAAATCGATAAAATCGATAAAAGTAATGGACGATCCTGAAAATTAATGTTGTGTTCGGAATCCCCATGCTCACTTCCCCCCCCCCCCTGTGCCAACTCCTAGCCCTGTAGGTGAACTCTGCAAAAAAATCGATAAAAATCGGTAAAATCGACATCGATCGATAACGAAAAGTGGACTGTGACACCCGCCGGGGCCCGAAGTGTATGTGTGCCAAGTTTGGTCCGGATACGGCGGAGCCGGGTAAGCCAGCTAGTATATATATATATATATATATATATATATATATCAGTGGCGGACCGAGGGGGGCGGGGGGGGGCGCGCCCCCCCCCCCGAGAATGGGTCGCGAAATTTTTGAAACTTACCTATATGGGTTGTAAAAATGTGCAAACGACTTGTTTGCGCTTGAAAATAATTAAAATAATTTTTAAAATTTTTTATAAATTCATTTTAGCCTTATAAAAAAATTTTTTTCGGGGGTTAGGGGTCGGGGATCCGCAAAAATTTTGAGAAGCATCCCAAAAATTTTTTCGAGTGCGTGGCTGACGCCACGCACCTTCTTTAGAAAAAATTTTTTTTCGCGCCCCCCCCCCCCCCGAAAAAAATTTCTCGGACCGCCACTGTATATATATATATACAGTGACCGCCAAAAAAGTTGCGGACAAGCCGCCCTCCTTTTTTCATCGCTCATTTCCAGATGGAAAACAAAGATGAAAAAATGATCTGATTGCATGCGGTGATAGAGCTCATCAAGAGCTACAACACACACATCGCGCTTTCTGGAAAACATGTATTATAAAGATTTTAAAAATGTTTTTCTGAAAAAAGTCCGAAAACGGACGCGTCACAATTTCGCGGACATTAATTCTTCGAACGCGAAAATTTTCTTTTAGGTCTTTTCTTGGGGCAAAAACAGAAGTTTTCCGGACAAGTAAGCATAGTATATTGTAGAACTCATCGAGGACAATAATATGATAGTGATTACTTTCAAAAAAAACTCAAGCTTGAATTTTATTTTGCTTCTTTTTAAAAAATAACTTCTAATTCCCTGTTTCAAGCCAAATTTCTTCACATGGAAACCCATTCAAGACATCCAAACGAAGCTATTCGGATAAAATGGATGCCCTTTATTATCTTCTATGCATCGGATGTGTGCTGGAGAGTTTCTTTGTCAAAAATGGCTCTTGACAGTGCGTGCACATGACCCCACCTGCACCTCACCACTGACTTGCACCGCTTTGCAGGCTTGTAACTCAGCCGGCAGTCAATCTACGAGACTGCAAGTAGGCTCATTCGAAAGAGCATGACTTGCTGGACATGATGGTATGCAAAAGAGTTGGGTATGACAAACAGCGGAGAAATGGCTGATGGGGTGTTAAATCGCAGCACTGGAGATGAATGGAGTGAAGGCTCCCATCAACACAAGAACAGTCGTAGAGCTCCGAAATGGATCTATTGCACGAAAATTGACAGTTTTGAACTCCTAGGATGAAATTGGTAGCGAAAGGAGTCCTTTCTAACTTTAGCTGAAAAATCCTTAGCCTACCACTGAAGCTGCGCTTTGACACCCCATCCGCCATTTCTCCGCTGTTTGTCATACCCAACTCTTTTGCATACCATCATGTCCAGCAAGTCATGCTCTTTCGAATGAGCCTACTTGCAGTTTCGTAGATTGACTGCCGGCTGAGTTACAAGCCTGCAAAGCGGTGCAAGTTAGTGGTGAGGTGCAGGTGGGGTCATGTGCACGCACTGTCAAGAGCCATTTTTGACAAAAAAACTCTCCAGCGCACGTCCGATGCATAGAAGATAACAAAGGGCATCCATTTTATCCGAATAGCTTCGTTTGGATTCTTGAATGGGTTTCCATGTGAAGAAATTTGGCTTGAAACAGGGAATTAGAAGTTATTTTTTGAAAAGAAGCAAAATAAAATTCAAGCTTGAGTTTTTTTGAAAGTAATCACTACCACATTATTGTCCTCGATGAGTTCTGCAATATACTATGCTTACCTGTCCGGAAAACTTCTGTTTTTGCCCCAAGAAAAGACCTAAAAGAAAATTTTCGCGTTCGAAGAATTAATGTCCGCGAAATTGTGACGCGTCCATTTTCGGACTTTTTTCAGAAAAACATTTTTAAAATTTTTATAATACATGTTTTCCAGAAAGCGCGATGTGTGGGTTGTAGCTCTTGATGAGCTCTATCACCACATGCAATCAAATCATTTTTTCATCTTTGTTTTCCATCTGGAAATGAGCGATGAAAAAAGGAGAGCGGCTTGTCCGCAACTTTTTAGCGGTCACTGTATATACTGCAAGGATTTTCACACATTTTGTGAAAATCCTCCGATATCCTCAAATTCTCACAATCAGGGATTTTCTGACTGAAGTGGCCGTCACAAACTCGGCAAGCTTTTCCCAGTTATGTACATTCCTCTTGACTTTTTCACCCGGGGTCCTGCTCTCCTCATCGACTGTCCCTACGAACTACCTTAACCATTCCCTTTAGATCTTTTGGGCCCGTATGAAAACCTGGGGTGAATTAAGCGATGTTCCCGGTCATGAAAGGGCCGCGGGCGAACATCGCTGCGGCTCTAGCCAACATTCCAACTTATAGTTATAAAATCTTCTGAATCAAAGAACACCCCTTCCTCATCACAAAATATGCGTTGTTGGAAACTTGCTCAGAGTCTTTTCAATTTAAAAATTCTAATTCCAAACTCCCGTTCGCGTTCTAAACGGGCCTTTCCATCAACACCTATGAAACTAAGCCCAACTCCAGAGTCTACCCCAATTTCCAGCTCATCTTGGTAGGCTATTGACTTGAATTCTATCAAGAAGGCTACTATCAAAGTGAATATCCAATTTCAGCTGTTCATCCAAACAGTGTCTATACGATTTTGAGGTTGTGCAATGTTTTGACAAAATTGCGATAAAAAAATACATGTCCCTGAGGTCAGCAAGGGTTGAATTAATGATTAGTAAAGCCCTTTTTTCATCTCTTTTGTTCACATCTTATAAACTGACAACGAATAGAAGCACGTAGCTCTTTCCAAGACATCTATCACGATCGTTGATAGAAGTTTTGGAGGGAGAAGCATTTTTTTTTCACAGTATCTCTGAAACTTTCGGTCTTTTAAGAAAAATCCGAAATTACAAGATGAAGTCTTTCGTTAGAACCTATGATTTATTTGCTGAGAGATGCATCCATCCAGTGTAAAGTTCCAAGACAATTCGCACCACAGTGTTTTTATCATTTAAAGGATAACAATTTGGAAAGTTCACACAGTTTTGATATGTCAAATACAATCAAATACTTTCGAAAAGCATCAGACCTTACAATTACGCTTGCAAGTGAACAGAGAAGCCGATGGTTTATGGTGTTCAATTCGATTTCATGGTTAGCATTACTGAGAGAACCAAGTTAGCGCAAAATATGGTGACGTCATAGGCTGCACTAACGCGACTGGGTCGAATCGTAACTGCAGCATGGAAGCGGGCGAAAGTGCAAAAAGTAAGACAAAGATCTGGACAAACATCCATCTGGATTTCATATGGTGATAGAGCCCTTCAAGAGCTACAACCTACACGCTGCGCTTAATCAAAAACATGTATCCTAAAAAAAGTAAAAATCTTTTTATAAAAAAGGTCCAAAAATGGTCGCGTCACAATGTCGCGGACAATAATTCTTCAAACGCGAAAATTTTCTTTTAGGTCTTTTTTGCAGCAAAAACAAAAGTTCTCCGGACAGGTAAGTACACTATATTGTAGAACTCATCGAGGGCAATAATCGGATAGTGGTTACTTCCAAAAAAACCCAAGCTTGAATTTTATTTTGCTTCTTTTCAAAAAATAACTTCTAATTCCCTGCTTCAAGCCAAATTTACTCACATGGAAACCCATTCAAGATATTTCAGCAAAGCTATTCGGATAAAATCGATGCCCTTTGCCATCTTCTATGCATCGGACGTGTGCTGGTGATTTCTTTGCTGAAAATAGTTTTTGACAGTGCATGCACGTGACTCCACCGTCACCTCACCACTGACTTGCAGCGCTTTGCAGGCTTGTAGCTCGGCCAGCAGTCACTCTACGAGCCTGCTGGTAAGCTCATTCGAAAGCGCTTGAATTCCTACACGATGGCATGCAAGAGAGTTGGGTAGGAGAAAAGCAGAGAAATGGCGCTTGGGGTGAAAAAGCCCAGCTTCAGTGGTAGGCTAAGGATTTCCAGCCAATGTTGAACAGAGCTTCTTTCGCCACAACTTTCATCCTGGAAGTTCAAAACTGTCAATGTTCTTGTAGTAGATCCGTTTCGAAGCTTCAGGAATGTTCTGGTGTTGATAAGAGCCTCCACTCCAATCACCTCTAACGATGCGCTTTTTCACCCCATCCGCCATTTCTCTGCTGTTTCTCCTACCCAACTCTATTGCATACCATCGTATCCAGGAAATCAAGCGCTTTCGAATGAGCTTACGAGCAGGCTCGTAGAGTGACTGCTGGCAGAGCTACAAGCCTGCAAAGCGCTGCAAATGGAGTCATGTGCACGCACTGTCAAAAACTATTTTCAGCAAAGAAACTCACCAGCACACGTCCGATGCATAGAAGATGGCAAAGGGCATCCATTTTATCCGAACAGTTTTGTTGGAATGTCTTGAATAGGGTTTCCTTGTGAAGAAATTTGGCTTGAAGCAGGGAATTACAAGTTATTTTTTGGAAAGAAGCAAAATAAAATTCAAGCTCGGGTTTTTTTGGAAATAACCACTACTCGATTATTGTCCTCGATGAGTTCTACAATATAGTGTGCTTACCTGTACGGAGAACTTTTGTTTTTGCTGCAAAAAGGACCTACAAAAAAATTTTCGCGTTCGAAGAATTATTGTCCGCGACATTGTGACGCGGCCATTTTTGGACCTTTTTTATAAAAAGATTTTTACAATTTTTAGGATACATGTTTTTGATAAAGCGCGACCAAACTTTGCACACATACACTTCGGAGAGGTGCGAGTGTCATAGTCTACTTTTCGTCATCGAGCGATATATACAAATTTACCGATTTTTTTCAAAGTATGAGCTGCGGGGCTGGGAGGACACAGGGGGTAAGTGAGCATGCTGATTCTAACAAACGGGAATGGGGGATTGGCATGTAGGAGGGGGCACAGGGAAAAATTGTACAGGTTTAGGGATGGTGACCTTCAACATAGTGTTTTGACAGGGCGGGCGAAGCCGGGTATGCCAGCTGGTATTTGTAAAGGGGGAGCGCGCCAAGCGCACAGCTGATCTAACGCCTGCAGTGTATCATTGATAGATGAGAAGCAAGAAATACACTAATTGTTCTTTAACCTCCTTTTCCTTACTGGCAATCGCGGATTACGAATCATCAGACTGGATGACAAATAGGCCGATGAAGTGCAAATGCCCTGCCCTAATACACCTTGACACTGTTTGGAGTATTCGTAAAATACAGCTATTAAGATCATTTAGCCAGCTCTGGTCTCCAATTAGAGTCATGGATGATGATAGCCTACACAGAAACTATGAGAGCACACACATCGCAGGCAAGAGAACTTTGCAGGGTGGTACATGTCAAAATCACTGAAATGACGTAAACTCTGCAAAGTAATCAACTCGTCCATTAAAGTGCACTGGGCCTGTTGGAGATTTTCTAGTGATATGGCGGTGGATGCAAGACATGAAGTCACGTCTCAACCCGATTTTCATGACCAGCATGGCAGGCGCCAGACTTATCCCGTTAGCAGCTTCGCTACTGGTCGACTGATCTGATCAATAGCAAACCAGCTGGATTGAATGCAGCAACTATGCGAAAAGTCTGGCGCCTGCCTGTGCCCACTGACCCCGAAAATGAAACAAAATCTAATATCTCAACCTCTAACTATGATCCACGATAACGCCAAGTTTATGCAAATTAATGGAGACCCAAATAACCAGATGGCCTCGCGCTATAAGGCATACGGGTGTTGACAAAAAAATACGTCATACTGGTCTGGAGGAATAAATGGGATCAGCTAAATAAAATATAGGGCTTATCAAATTGAGTGTCGTTTGCGCCGGCATCTCCATCTTCGCGCTGGACTCCGCGTCTCTTCCGCCGGGCTGCTCTCTGAGCGCTTTCTCAGGGCAAGCGTGGGAAAGGCGGAGCATCAATCGATTGGAAGTGATTAGGGAACAAGTACCGCAGAAGAGACGCAGAGCCCAGCGCGAAGATGGAGATGCTGGTGCAAACGACACTCAAGATAAGCCCTATATAATAATTTCCATGTTCCGTTTTCTTTAAACCTGGGCATAGCTTATAGTCTTCAACTCTGTTGTGCCGTACAAGTTTGTTATGGTGGCAGATTTATTCGTACTGGCCTAACGTTTTGACGCTTTCGTCGTCCTCAGAGGCCTGAAAACGACTCAAGGCATCATCCGTAATACCAGACCACCAGATATCTCCTCTAACTCAGCCAGTTACTTCATTCCAACTTCGCGTCGCAAAAATCCTCAAGACAGATATACTCACCCTTACACCACCGATATTCGAAATGTCCGTACGACTGGATGTGACAAAAGTTGACGGACAAGTGAGTGATACAGTAGAATGCGCATTAGGTCGCTATCCACTATCTACAACTCACACAGTGGCATATACGGCAGAAACTCAGCGGTTATAGACAGACACTCATTCTTGTTATTCATTTCTGGAATCTTTGCGGATATCCAGAAAGCCTCTAGAATCTTCCTAGCCGTGATATCTGTTTCAAACGCCAGAATTTTGCATTTGACTGCAAAATCATTTCCCTCATGCGCGTCACTCCCATGTTTGCCCAACGGGTTTACTAAACTCTTCCGTCTCTTGCCTGCCAGATGTTCTTTCAAGCGTACGCTTAACACTCTACCAGTTTCGCCAATATATTTTATAAATAAATAAATAATTACTATATTTATAAATAATAAATATAATAATTCGCACCCAACGCACTTGACAATGACCTTTTATGTTCAATCTAAACCTCGAACATACTAACATTATAAAGTAACGACTCGTACTATTCAAAATTATGCTGTTTCTGACTCAAACATAGCTCACCAACCTTCTGTCCATAGCACAGTTCAATTTCGCGTTAAGTTTCTGGTTTGCTGTAATCATCTAATTCAGATAGGACCCCATCTGCGTCTTATACCTCGAATTTTCATTTGATTATAGAGCAAACTAGTTGTAACATTCCAATAGGTTTTTTTGACCCTAACCAAAGAATCAGAGTGAAGTAGTATCTCTATAAATAGTCATAGATATACACATATGTATTACATTGAAGATATTCGAGCATCATCTAACCACCTTTCATCTAACCTTGCTGGATATCCAGTGATCGAATAAAGAAAAAACCGAGAAAAAAAATATCGGAAGGAGGAATAACATACCATCCACATATTTGACGCGCTCAAACTTTTTCGCGAGAGGAGTTATTACGTCGCTAGTTTCAGATACATCCTTCTCGGTCTCCTTATCGTCTCCTCTGACAGCTTCAATATCGTCTTTTTCTTCTTTTTGTCCGTGAGAATCGGAGAACTGCAAACGGCATAGGTGAAAACAAGAAAGGAGGGATAAATCGATAAGCTAGAGCGTGTACAGTCTGCCCCAATTGAGCAGGCCGAACCGTTGGCCAGTTCGCGCCCTCGCTGCGCTAGAAATTTGCTGTGCGTATGCGCATTGTCGGGTAGAGCGGAGGTAAAGAAAGAGAGAGAGCAGGTAAGCAGGCTGTAGGCGTAACGCAAAATCCTAGCGACGCGGACTCCCAGATGCCAATTTTGGCCTGACTGGGATTGGGACTTTATATCGCACGCAGTCAAAACGTAGGGTTCCACCACGGCTCTGCGTTTGAAAGGCAGTGTCCGGGCAAAAACTCGATTTTAAGGGCCGCATGCACTAACATCCCCGCGGGGAGGGGATCGCAGCTTAAAAGACAGCCTTGTATTTCGAAACTCCAGATACCTGGATTTCACGTTGTGTACCTATCCGTAAGTATTCCTACTGCCCTTCACTATGAACATGTTGAAGAGGAGCGAGAAGCTATACGAACCGCATTTTCCAGCTTTTGTATGATCCCTGATGATCCCCCGCGCTTTTCTTTAAAGTCATTTTTACTTCTCCGAAGTTAACGAAAAACCTCCAAAGTTGTGCAGATTATCCAACCCGACAGTGCTAAGCATGTTCGTGACAAGAACAAATGATGTCTTGAAGTCATGAAATTTTCGATGATCCATAGGTCGAATTTTGAGGTTTACCGAAAAATTCGACTTTTCAAAAACTCATTTGTTCTCATCAGCAACGTGCTTAGCACTGTTGTGTTAGATGTTCAGTACAGCTTTGGAAAGTTTTCGTAACTTCTGAGAAGAAAAATGACTTTAAAGAAAAGCGCCGGGGATCATCAGAGATCATACAAAAGCTGGAAAATGCGGTTCGTACAGCTTCTCGCTCCTCTTCAACATGTTCATAGTGAAGGGTAGTAGAAATACTTACGGATAGGTACACAACGTGAAATTCAGACATCTGGAGCTTCAGAATATGAAGCTTTCTTTTAAGCTGCGATCCCCTCCCCAACGGGGAGGTTAGTGCATGCGGCCCTAAGATTTTGTGCTTACTCGGGTCTATCCGCTATGTTTGAATCCGAAAATCCACACTGAAGACCGTGAAAACGGTGAAAAAGGGCTCTAAAGCAGGAGGGAAATCAGCAAGTGAGCGGTTTTCCTCACCATGAAATCGCTCTGCCAGCTTCCGGAGCGTTTTCTTGGTTCGGATTTCAAAACAGGCGTTCGCGCTTAGCCGGTGACATTGTCAGGACGGCTAACGGAACCAAAAGAATATTCACAGCGGAGAAGACTCCGCCCACCTGCTGCGTTCCACCTGCGTTAAAGCCCTTTTTCGCCGTTTTCGCACTCTCCAGTGTGAATATGCGGATTCAGCGGGTGTGTGACGTTTCGCACGACCGTAATGCTTTCCACACAGGACCACCGCCGCGCGCGACACACCCTGCGGCGGCTTTTGCCTAAGCAAAACACGGGAGGAAAGATTTGCGGCGTGCATTACATGTTAAGACAAGTCAAAATCAGGGAGACGCTGGAGACCGCCCGTGCGAAAAGACCGTCTCCCGATTCAGCATAGCGAATAGGCCGGGGTAAGCACAAAACTCAAAACGACTTTTTGCCAGGACACTGCCCGTAACCTCAGTGACAGACGTCCAAATTCAAAATTAGGAGCTTCTAGAATAAGCTATTTTCGACAGTCTGCTAGCTGCGTTTCTGGAATCAGCGGGAAGAATAAGCCCAAGCAACAGAAAAGAAATTTTGTTCGACATTTTGCTTCTTCCGAGCAAAGTGGCTCGGGAACATCCTCTGGATGCGCTTGGACTAGAGCCGTGCTTGAAAGTCAAAAAAGCCTTTTTATGGCGTTTTCCGGCTCTGGGATTGCTGAGGCTAGAGCGGAGTCGCAGCCGAGCCGCGATTGGCTGCCTGGGCCAATCAGCCAACCGTCAAAACGAGTGGTGTTATAGTCGTCCTCACCCCACTAGTCGGTGGGGGCTAGCTAGCTACGAGGCTGAGATGGCACTGGTCCGGGGTAAGTGAGCATGCTGAGAATTCTATAATCACACTCGGAATTGATGAAGACGGTAACTTTACCTAAAGTTGTTATATATTCACTTTTGCCCGCCTTTACCTTTTAAAATCCTGCCTCTAAAATCAGAAAAGCACAAAGAGCCTGGTCTCGAGGGAAGAAAAGGCTTATAAATTGAGGCGGCAAGATGCTTCCGTTAAGAATTTCTACGAGTCAATATCTAATTATATAGAAATTTCCTTGAAATTTACTTCTGTCCCTTCCACTCTGCAAAAACCGAACTTCTGCCTCTGAAGGTAGAAAAGTGGTCTCGAGGGAAAGACACACCCATGAGTTTCATTCGATAGGACATTTTCACTGAAACTTTTGGCCCCCAAACTTCGCAAGAACCACAAACTCAAAAACCACACTTCTGGTCCTAAAAGCAAAAAAGACAGGGAGCTTGGTCTCGAGGGAAGAAAGAATGGCCTTAGGCAGCAAGTTTCGCCAGAAGTTTCTGGGTGTCAGTGATTATACAGAACTTGCTTGAAATTTATTTCTGGCCCTTTTGGTCTCGAGGAGAAAACACTAATAAGCTCAGCCAGCAAGATACTTTCGCTGAAAATTTCTGGGTGTCAATGTTTATTCATACAGAAACTTGCTTCTAAATTTACTTCTGGCCCTTCTACTTTGCAAAAACCATACTTCTGCCTCTAAAAGTAAAAAAAGCAGAAAGTGCTCTCGATAGAAGGACAGACCCATGAGCTTCATCCGACAGGACTTTCGCCAAGACGTTTGACTCCCACTTGGCAAAACCACAAAAACCAAAAACCACACTTCTGGCCCCAAAAGCAGAAAAGCACAGATAGCTTGGTTTCGAGGGGAAGAGACTCATAAGCTCAGCCAGCAAGATACTTTCGCTGAAAATTTCTAGGTGTCAATGTTTATTCTAAAAACTTGTTTCAAATTCACTTGTGGTCATTCTGCTCTGCAAAAACCGAACTTCTGCCTCTGAAGGCAGAAAAGTGATCTCGAGGGAAAGACGGATCCATGAGCTTCTTGCGACAGGAAATTATCTTCTGTGAAAGTTTTGGCCTTTTGAACTTCGCTAAAACCACACTTTTGCCCCTAGAAGCAAAAAAAAAACAGGGAGCTTGGTCTCGAGGGAAGAAAAGACTCGGCTCAGGCAGCAAGATATTTGCGCTTAAAAATTTTAGGTGTCAATATCTAATTATAAAGAAACTTGCTGGAAAAAATTACGGCCCCTTCTTCTCAACCATACTTTTCCCCCTAAAAGCGGAAGCATAAGGAGCTTGGAAAGACCTATAGCTTTATGCGACAGTCAGTTTCGGTAAGATTGTCCTTCAAAAGAAGGCGTCGGGCAAGCTTTAGTCTGTTCTAAGAAACGAGTCCGTTCACTGGCAAGACAACATCGAAAAAATACTGCTTCGTTTTTATCTACATATCTGAGTTTTCGGCTGCTGGAAGACATAACTTGACGCCTCCATTAACATGGCACTTTCCTGGAATCAATCTGAGTTTTGGGATGAATCAGCTGTTCTAAACAGGTGCCTGGGGGTAGCTTCCTTGTTTAAGAGCTGTGGTATCTGGGCGAAGGTATCTGCAAGAGGAACAGCAGAGATGCTTTACGGATAGTCACTGGTAGTAGCTTCTTTTCCTAAAAGCATAGTGTTTTGTTTCTACTACTCACTATACGCGAAAGGTCGCTGGGAAGATGGAAATTCTCTTTCTTGGGATTTTTAGTTAATTAATGGCAGATATCAATGTATCTGCCCCCACCCACTTACTAGCGACCCGTAGGGTCTCTATGCCTTATATATAAAGGTGAATGTCTGTTTGTCTGTATGTCTGTCTGTCTGTATGTGTGTACGTATATTCCGAATAGAAAATTCCATTTCTGAACCGAGGACCAAACTTGGCACACAAACACTTCGGGCCCCGGCGGGTGTCACAGGCTACTTTTCGTCATCGATCGATATCGATTTTATCGATTTTTTTGCAGAGTTCACCTACGGGGCTGGGAGTTGGCACAGGGGGTAATCGAGCATTGGGATTCCGAATACAATATTAGTTTTCAGGATCATCGATTACTTTTATCGATTTTATCGATTTTTTTGCAAAGTTTAAGCTACGGGGCTGGGAGTTTGCACAGGGGGGTAATCGAGCATGGGGATTCCGAATACAATATTAGTTTTCAGGATCATCGATTACTTTTATCGATTTTATCGATTTTTTTGCAAAGTTTGAGCTACGGGGCTGGAGTTTGCACAGGGGGGTAATCGAGCATGGGGATTCCGAATACTATCAGTTTTCGAGATTATCGATTACTTTTATCGATTTTATCGATTTTTTTTGCAAAGTTTAAGCTACGGGGCTGGGAGTTTGCACAGGGGGGTAATCGAGCATGGGGATTCCGAATACATTATTAGTTTTCAGGATCATCGATTACTTTTATCGATTTTATCGATTTTTTTTGCAAAGTTTGAGCTACGGGGCTGGGAGTCTTCGTCTAGGGTGGTCATTTAGCGCGCTGAACATGGATATCATGCTGATTTCGCAGGACAGTGCATTTTCTTGGGTTACGGTGGGTGTAGATGGTCGAAGTTCCACATTTACTAAAAACCTTTCCTGTAACGGTTCACAAGTATACTGCTTATGAATATGAAACTTGCTCGCTGTCATAACGCATTAGTGAAGTTATGGTGAGTTGCAGGATTTGAATGGACAGGGCCAATTTAAATCCCAGATATTCATGAAATGGGGAAACCGTCGTTTTGCATGGCGGTCTCCAGCGCCATCCTGATAACCTGTCCCAACGTGTAACTCACGCGGCAAATCTCCCTCCCCCTGATTTGCTTGGGCAAAAGCCGCCGAAGGGTGTATCGCACGCGGCAAATGTCTCTCCCCCTATTTCTGCTCAGGCAAAAGCCGCCGAAGAGTGTATTGCACGCGGCAAA